GCCCCTCCGCCGCCACTCGGCTGTCCCGGGGCCCTTTCCCTGGCTCCGCCGCCCCTCGTCTGTCTCCGGGCCCCGGGGGAGCCCGCCGGCCGGGGACAGCATCCCTCCGGGGCGTGGACAGCCCGGACCTGCGGCCGCGACGCACCCGGGGACTCCCGAGCCTCCGCCCCCTCCTCCTCCCCGGCCCCACGCGACCCCCAGGACCACAGACCTGGGAAGAAGGGGCCGGGGACTGTCGCCTGCGCGCCTCGTGCGCGCCTCGTATGCGCCTGCGCAATGGGGCGGAGAAGCCGCCGCCCGCAGTGTCCGCCAGAAAAAAAGATGGCGGCAGGGTCACGTGGTCGTCCCCGCAGCGCCGGGCGCAGAGGCGGAGCTGCAGGAGCCCCAGCTACCCCTGCGCGGACGCCCTCCCGCCACCGGGTACCTACGGCCTCGGAGGCTGACAAAATGGGAACAGAAATACACATCTGGAATGAAAAATAAGTCACAACCAAGTAGACGTTTAAAAAAAACGAATACCGGCTCAAAACAAAAATCTAGAAGAATTCACACGTTTGTATTAAGTGCACATCCTGGGAGAAATGTGTTGAGGCTCAGGGAAGCAGTGGAGATAGGCACTGGTCCTAACTGGTTGCAGTTAGATATCTTTTTTTCCCGCCCGTATTCTTTAATGAGAAACTTCAAACAAAAGGTGAAGGACTACGGTGAGCACCCATCTACCCACCACCAGAGTCCACACTGAACCCAGTGCATGTTGTCATTCCGGGTATGTGTGCCCACCCATCCATCTACTGTCCGTGCACACGGAGGCGACCTGCAGACGGCGGCCCATCTGCGCACCATCAATAAGGCAGCGAGCTCACTCTTGCACCTGCCCAGGTGAGCTTTGGCCCTGCCTCTGGGTACCTGTTTGTGGGCATCTTTCCGTTCTGAGATTTCCGGTGCATCTCGTCTCTCCTCACCTTGCTGAGTTCTCTTCCACCTCCCGGAATCCGGGCTGTGGGTGTCCTCAACTCCTGGCGGGTGGGGGGGCATCCCCACCCTAGCTCTGAACTCTGAGTCTGCCCCCCGTGCCCACCGCCCTCGGCGTAATTGGCTCTCCTGACCCATCTATGAACAGGCAGTTCGGAGAGGGAAGCACCGGGACCGCCATCGCGGGTCTGCATAGGTGTGCTCTAGAGCAGGGCGCCCTCGGGGCTGATCTGCATGGGGATGACATCGAATGTGTCCTACTGGTAGCTTCACTGGAGTTCTGCTGCAGAAATCTCAATTTCTGCTGTCCCCGCGCCCACACAGAAATGCGCGCTGCGCAACGTGAATGTACATACAGTTTAGGCAATGCAAGGACCCTTCGCCAATAAAAACATTAGATACCTAACCTCCTTCCATGATTATCAATTGTCATCGAATGTGAAGAGTGCCCTTTCATTTTCCATCCTGCTCTGCCCTAGCCCTGGCAGGAGGGCCACTCAGCAGTCGATAAATGTTCAGGTTGCGCACAAATTTTCCCGCCTTTTCAGTACTGAGCCTCGGCCCCACCGTTGCACCTGCTGGGAGGCACTCGCCCGAGCGCACTGCGCTTGCGCGTCCCCGCCCCCAGCGTAAGTCGCCGCAGCAAGAGCCCCTCCCCCCCGCGGAAGCCGTGCGCACGCGTCAGCGCGTCGGTGCGCCGGGTCAGGGGTCAGCCCGCAAAGATGGCGGCGACGGTGACCTTCTGCCGGCTGCTGGGCCGGAGCGGTCCGGCGGCGCTGAGCCTGCCCCGTGGCGCCAGGTGTCTAGGGGTGCGGACTTCACCGACCGGGGAGAAGATTACGCACACCGGCCAGGTAACCGCCGCGGCGTGGAGGACGCCCTCCATCTCGGCTTCCCGTTCCTCCGGTCCCCTCCCCCTGCGGCCGGGGGACGCGCCGGCCGGTGGGCAGGGTCTCGCAGGCCGAGTCCCGGGCCGGCCCCCATTCACATTAGGGTGGGTGTGTGCGGGGGTCCCACGCTCTGACCGACGAGACGGAAGCCGCCCCACCCCCACGGCCGCCGCCGTGCCTCTGCAGTCAGGGTAGGCTCGTCCTCCGAGCGTCTCCAGCTCCAGCATCAGGCCCGTCCCTGTGGACAGGCTGACCGTCGGGGCCCGCGTGCGCTTCCTGTCGTGTCCGCGGTGCTAGGCCGTACGTTTTAACAAGCCGAGGGGCCGCTGTAGTCTAAAACGGAAGGCGGAAAAGTGAGCGAGGTACCTGTGTTATTAAGGAGTCCCCTAGCCGACACTTTTATCCGGTGTCGGCCAGAGGTGAAAGAAAATTGGGGGCGCCCCTCCTCTGCCCGAGTTGGTCTCTGCTTTCAGACCGCACCTCGCTACCTTCCGGTTCCGATTGTTGTCCCGTCTCACCTTCGGTATATCGCTGGAGAATGCCCCTGGTCACGAAGTTACACTTTGCGCCTCACGCACTTGGCCACGAGTGGCCAGAATGTTAAGAGAAAACACTTTCCTGTAATGTTTACTCTTGGTAGGAAGTGACTTCTTCCCGTATCAGGCTGTGAAAATCATATAAGGTCTTTTTTTTTTTTTTT